AATTGAAGTTTAATAATTTTGAAATATTTAAGAGTCGCACAAAGGTGATAAATTATTTCATAATTATAAACATAATAGTGGTTAATTATTTGTATTTGATTGGGTTGTTTAGCATATCCAAAGATAGCAAACAAGTCCATTCATAATATATTTAATGGCCAATTATATGATTTTTTTTCTTTTTTTAGCATCGGATTATGTTTAAAGTTATATGTTGTTGGATCACCCAAAGGAGACCTTCAATGTACTTAATTGTTTATGATTATGTTGATTAAATCTGTTTGTCTGTTTATGTATTGAAATATAATTAATGTTTGAGCATTTTATATGCATTGCAACATCTAGTTGTGTTTCAATTCATTCGCAAGCTGCGTCTATTGTTAAGTATAATGGGCTGAATTTTGCTGAGTGGCATGAGCAAATCCAATTTCACCTCGGTGTCTTGGATCTTGATCTAGCACTCTTGAATGACAAGCCCGCTCCTATTGATGATAATAGCAGTGATGATGATGTAGCTTTCCATCAAGCATGGGAAAAATCGAATAAACTCAGCTTAATGCTTATGCGAATGACACTTGGAAACAACATTAAGTCCACAATTCCCAAATTTGACAGTGCTAAGGATATGTTGAAACATGTGGAGGAAAATTCACATTCTGAATGTGCTGATAAGGCCCAAGCAAGCACTCTTATGAGTAAACTAACCAACATGAAATTTGATGGTTCGTGTTCCATGCATAATCATGTCACTGAGATGTTGAGCTTAGCAGCAAAATTAAAGTCCATGGGAATGGACGTGAATGACACCTTCCTTGTACAATTTATTTTAAACTCTTTGCCTCTTGAGTATGAGACATTCCAAGTGAATTACAATTCCATTAAATATAAGTGGAATGTGTTCGAATTGCATGAAATGCTAACTCGAGAGGAAACAAGGCTTAAGAGACAAGGAATCCACTCAATTAATCTCATTGGTCAGTCAAGGGCTGGTAAGAAGTTTGGAAAGAAGAATCAAAAGGGTAAGAAAGGACCAATGAAGACTAATGAGTCCTCTTCTCAAATCCACAAAAAGGAACATAAGAATGACAAGTGTCATTTCTGTAAGAAATCTGGGCATTTTCAGAAAGATTGCCATAAGCGTAAGGCATGGTTCGAAAAGAAAGGTATACATTATATATCAGTATGTTTCGAATCAAATTTAACTGAAGTTCCTTATAATACTTGGTGGATAGATTCTGGTTCCACTACTCATGTTTCGAATACTATGCAGGGATTCCTTATGACCCAAACCATAAAGCCAAATGAAAAATTTGTGTTCATGGGGAATCGTGTCAAAGCTCCAGTAGAAGCCATTGGAACATACCGTTTAATTTTAGATACTGGAAATCATTTGGATTTGTTTGAAACTCTTTATGTTCCTTCTGTTTCTAGGAATTTAATTTCCTTGTCAAAACTGGACTATTATGGTTTTTCCTTTAAATTTGGAAATGGATGTTTTAGTTTATTCAAACAAAATCATTTTATTGGTTCTGGTATTCTTTCCGATGGCTTGTACAAATTAAAGCTTGACAATCTTTTTGCTGAAACTCTATTAACCCTGCATCATTGTATTGGAACTAAACGAAGTTTAGTGGATGAAAGATCAGCTTACTTGTGGCATAAACGTTTGGGTCACATATCTAAGGAAAGGATTCAAAGACTTGTAAAGAATGAAATCCTTCCCGAATTAGATTTTACTGATCTAGGTATTTGTGTGGACTGTATTAAAGGAAAACATTCAAACCACACAAATAAGAATGGAGCCACAAGAAGCACACAGCTCCTTGAAATTATACACACTGATATATGTGGACCTTTTGATGTCCCAAATTTCGGAAAAGAAAAATATTTCATCACATTTATTGATGATTTTTCACGTTATGGTTATGTCTATTTGTTGCATGAAAAGTCTCAATCAATAAATGCCTTAGAGGTATTTGTGGATGAGGTTGAAAGACAATTGGACAAAAAGGTGAAAATTATAAGATCTAATAGGGGTGGTGAATATTATGGAAGGTATACTGAAAATGGACAATGCCCAGGTCCATTTGCTAAATTTCTTGAAAAATGTGGTATTTGTGCTCAATACACAATGCCCGGTACGCCACAACAAAATGGCGTTGCAGAAAGGTGTAATCGTACATTGATGGAAATGGTTAGAAGTATGATGAGTTATTATTCTTTACCCTTATCATTGTGGACATATGCTTTAAAAATCGCTGCCTATTTATTAAACAGGGTTCCTAGTAAGGCAGTTTCAAAAACACCATTTGAATTGTGGACAGGAAGGAAACCTGGGTTAAGGCACCTTCGTGTTTGGGGATGCCCAGCGGAGATACGCATTTATAATCCACATGAAAAGAAACTGGACTCAAGAACAACTAGTGGATTTTTCATTGGTTATCCAGATAAATCTAAAGGGTATAGATTCTACTGTCCTAGCCATACTACTAGTCACTTGCCTGAACAACAAATTAATGATCAAGAGATTAATGATCAACCACTCCATGATGAAGTTAACAATGAACCCACAAATGATATTCCTACAGAAGTAGCATTAAGAAGATCTCAAAGACAAAGTAGATCTGCTATATCTGATGATTATGTGGTTTATCTTCAAGAATCAGATTTTGACATTGGTATTGATGAAGATCCAGTTTCGTTTTCACATGCTATAAATAGTCCAAATTCTTCTAAATGGGTCGAAGCCATGAAAGATGAGTTAAAATCAATGGCACATAATGAAGTATGGGATCTTGTTGAATTGCCTAAAGGTTGTAAGCCAGTTGGATGTAAATGGGTTTTTAAGACCAAACACGACTCAAATGGCAATATCGAACGATACAAGGCCAGACTTGTTGCCAAAGGTTTTACTCAAAAGGATGGTATTGATTTTAATGAAACATTTTCACCTGTTTCAAAGAAAGATTCATTTAGAATAATTATGGCATTAGTAGCTCATTATGACTTAGAGCTACAACAGATGGATGTGAAAACCGCCTTTCTGATTGGAAATTTGGAAGAAGAAATTTACATGAACCAACCTGAGGGTTTTTCAATTGAAGGAAAGGAACACATGGTGTGTAAACTTAACAGATCGATATATGGCCTTAGACAAGCTTCCCGACAATGGTATCTTAAGTTTAATGATACTGTAACGACCTTTGGATTTAAAGAAAACACCGTTGATCAGTGTATATATCTGAAGGTCAGTGGGAGCAAGTTTATATTTTTTATTCTGTATGTCGATGATATTTTGCTTGCTACTAATGATCTTGGTTTAATGCATGAGACCAAGAAATTTCTTTCTAAGCACTTTGAAATGAAAGATATGGGTGAGGCATCCTTTGTGATTGGAATTGAAATACTTCGTAATAGATCACAAGGAGTGTTAGGATTGTCTCAGAGAACATATATTAACAAAGTCTTAGAAAGATTTAGAATGGAAAAATGCTCTGCATCAGTTGCTCCAATTCAGAAGGGAGATAAGTTTAGCCTTATGCAATGCCCTAAGAATGAATTGGAGCGTAAAGAAATGGAAAATATTCCTTATGCATCTATCATTGGGAGTTTGATGTGTGCTCAAACATGTACCCGACCAGACATTAGCTTTGCTGTTGGGATGCTTGGTCGTTATCAGAGTAATCCTGGTATGGATCACTGGAAAGCTGCAAAGAAGGTATTAAGGTACTTGCAAGGTACAAAGGAGCACATGCTCACTTATAAGCGATCTGATCACCTTGAGGTGTTTGGACACAAGGAAGTCCACATTTGGTTATCTATTCCTTTTAGCCGAGGGAGCTATTTCTTGGAAAAGTGCGAAGCAGACTGTCATTGCTGCATCCATTATGGAAGCTGAGTTTGTGGCATGTTTTATGGCCAAAAATCATGGATTATGGCTGCGAAATTTTATTTCGGGACTTGGAATTGTCGACAGTATTGCCAAGCCGCTGAAAATTTATTGTGATAATGCAGCAGCAGTCTTCTTTTCTAAAAACAACAAGTATACTAGTGGTGCTAAACATATTGATCTGAAGTATCTTGCCGTTAAAGAAGATGTTCGGGAATGAAGGGTATCAATTGAACACATAAGCACTAGATTAATGATTGCAGACCCATTAACTAAAGCATTGCCACCGAAGGCATTTCGTGAGCATGTTGAAAGAATGGGCGTTATTGAAAACTGTTAACGTTATGTTAAGGTTGTGTTTTGAAATATTTGATACTTAGAGCTCAATATAGTTTCGTTTCTGTATTAAAGTATCCTGTTTAGTTTATGAAGTATATATACATGAATGTTTTATTATGTTAATATAAACAGGATTTGTCTTTGACAAAGACATTATCGTGGACCATTATGAAAAGTTCATTATGAATCATATTGAGTTTGAAATTAATATTGTGATACATGGAAGGGACTGCGTCAAATTAGTGACGTATTACCGCCATGATTCTTATTAATTTTTAACTTAACGATGACTTATGTTCTGACCAATATAACAAAGGAATTAATTTATACTATGCATATTATGTTTCAAGTTCATTATTAAATTTATGACTTATGAGCCAAGTGGAGAATGTTAGAATTATTATTATTATTATTATTATTATTATTATTATTATTATTATTATTATTCTATGGTTCATTATGTTTTATTGTGGCTCATAATTAAATATTTATTTATGATTTAATAATGAAGATAATCTTGTGATTGGCCAGTTAAGAAGATAAGATTGCAGTTTCAACTGCATATCATCAGGTTTACGTTGATGGAACGTATTGTTATTTATATTTCATATATGAGACTCTGGTCCTCTCCCCGCTAAAAAACTCTCTCCATCAAAGAATTAGATTAAGTGAATGTTAAAGGTCTGGAGGGAGAAACCAAGTTTCTAACTCAAGCAACTACAGGAAAACAATGGAGCCAGGTATGTTCCCAGAATGCTATTTAAATACAGTATGTGAAAGGCATGTGTTCTGAAGATCTTATATTTTAGGATTAACTTACACCTTTATCATTTACATGTTTATGGAATCCACCCCCAATTTGATGCATGCAAAAGTTTTACAACAATAATTCTTTAAGCAATCCGCGGGTAAAAAACCGACAAGTTAATGCCACAAACTCCTACATCAATTATTCCTCTTGCCATCCTCACATAACCATTTTCGCCCCAATCCGTTCCCCATGAATTCTTCACCAACCAATAATCCCTTCCATCATCGCTCGTCCCGTACCCAATGATCGTCACGGCGTGGGAGTTTCCGGACCCACAGTTGCCGCCGCCGTTGTAGCCGCTGAAAACTCCGCCGCCGTAGTGCCTGAACAGCTCGCCATCTATAGTGATTCCGGCCGAGACAGGCTGGTCTGTGACGGCCGAAAGGAGAGATATTTCGTCGGGGTACGTTAGATGGTAGCCTGTAATGGTGGCAGCTGGGTTGCGAAGCTTTTCTGTGTTGCAGTTATGCTGAACGCCGTCGTACGGGTAGTCGGACTCCGCCGCGAGGCCGCCGCTGCCCGCTATGTATTGGAACGCCTCATCTCTGTATCCGCCGTCGCAGCCCTTATTTTTGACGTCGCAGTCGATGAGTTGCTGTTCGGACAAGGAAATCAATTGGCCAGTTTTGATTTTGTGTATTCCTTCTACGGTCGCCACCACTGAAAACGCCCAGCAACTACCTGATCCAGGTTTTCATGCAACCAAACAACAAATTAAAACAAATAATTTTTGTCGTTTCGCAAACCAATAAATGTGTTATCTTGCACACAAAAAAGTCCTTATAGTACGACATGATTGTGGAGGGGTGTAATATGGTAAATTATACCATGGATCAGACTCCACGCTATCTTGCATTTGTGTAACCTAGTCTAAAGTAGATTATGTGCCTCCAATTAACATGCATATATATAGCTAAAGCTTACACAATACGTATCTATAAATAAATTGAAGGTATGTAATATGTTAATGGTAGGTACGTAATGTGTTAATCGTAGATATATAATTTATTAACTATATCAACATAATATGTTAATTGCAAGTATATAATATGTTAATTATAGTAGACATATAATTTATTAACAGAATTTAGTTAATATATTATTAAATATAGTAGACACATAATTTATTAATACAAATTTACTTAATATGTTAACGGTTGACATATAATATATATTATCCCACTATAATTCTGTCAAGTTAAGGTGTTGGGGCTCTAGAGCAAGGAATTTTGTCTTTTGTGAACAATGATTATATATATGTATTAATTGTCATACCATGGACCAGGATCCACCTTGTATTGTGAATCCGGATATTCATATTATGTGTTTGGATTTAGCATATTAGTTAATAAATTATATATCTACTACAAATCTACAATTAACATATTATGTATATGCAGATAATATATTATGTGCCTTTAATTTATTTATAGGTACATATTCACATACTATGTTAAGGACAAATGCATAATTTGAAGGTCATTTTAGAGTTTGGACCAGAATTTACAACACCGTAAGGTGGATCCTGGTCCATAGAAATAATTTGCTCTATATATTATCCTAAAAAGAAATTAAAGTGTGTAAACTTTAATAGTTACCGCAGGTTGTTCCTTGGCTTTTGATATCAGTCACAGCACCCATCTCTCTCCAGTCTAAATGGTTTGGAAGTTGAGCCAAACTCTCATTTTGAATGGAAACTGGTTTTGATGGCTTAGGGAGTGGGGATACCTTCTCTTCATTAAGCATGGTGGCCCTAAACTCCTCATTTGTTAAATCGGTAAACTGATTAATGCCAAGTTTGTAAGACTGGGAGTCAGCCTTATTGAATGATTCAATAAACTCCACGTTTTTTTTGAAGATTTGAAATCGCTTTGCCTTCTCAGCATTATCTTTGTATGAACGCCCATAGCGAACCATCCACTCCTCGTGGCGCTTGAGCATGGAAGGTTCTTCGCAGGTATGAGTAGTGGCTTGAGATGCCCACGTCCCCAACAAGAAAAGGGCGGCAAGAATCACTGTGAAATGAGCCATGAGAGACGTATAGTATGTGGTATATATGGAATGAGTGATGTGTTTTCAATAATGGAGATGAGGCTATATGAGAAGTCCCTCATGTATTAGCAATTTATAGAAATTAAAATTGAGTCATCTTTCCGGCTTATTTTCTGCAGAATTTATGCAATGTTCTTGCAAGTTCATATTAATTAGGTTTGTATAAGAATATTTTCCAATAGTTTCCATATATTTTTTGTACATATTTAATCATGTTCATTCCATTATTAGCATTTTGCTTGAGGTACAAACCTTTTCTATTCCTTTTTACGGTTAAAATCTCTTACGTAAATCATCTATGTTTCTTTATATAAACCATTGAATATTTTTTTGAAAGGAAACCATTGAATATCATTATACTATATTCTTAATTTTCTATCTCTACATATTATTTCAAGACTTGTTGATAGTTGTCTATGGCTCTAATAAAATAATGTATATTTTGGTAAACATAAGTGGAACATGAGCAGTTTTGATAATGAATGTTGATTGTGGGGTGTTTGGTAAATAGTTGTTAGCTGATTGAGTTATTGAGTTTGATTAGTTGATAGCATTAGTTAATTGTAGAAAATAGTTTGGTAAATTAGCTGTTAACTGATAGCGGATTGCATGCAAAATTACTTTTTCAAAAGGCTGATAAAAAAAGTTACTTTGAGCAGCTTTTTAAATTTTAGCATTTTAGAACAATAAGCTGTTACAAAGAGCTAATTAATCAAACACTCATGGTAATTTAAAGATGTATAGTATTACTAGTATTTTTTATGCGTGATGTGCAAAAAATAGGCTCCCAATATTAATACATTATATTAAACTTTTAAATTTACTTAAATTTTAGATATTTAAATTATTCTAAATAATAATAATAATAATAATAATAATGTAAATCATTTTTATAAATTTGATATTTATATTTATGTAATAATTAACATATAACTCAAATATTTAATGTGTATATATTATTACTAATGAAGTAGATAAGAAAATACATGGTGGATGCATGTGCATGGTAACAATAGTGGAAAAGATAACGGAAGTTATAACGGTAGGGGTATGTTTGTCTAAAATATTTTAATGTACAACCTTTATAGCATAATGTACAAAAAAACTTAATGGAAAAAATAGACATAAATCAGGAGTATAACTTTCATTCACACTCATTATGTTTTTAGATATGTAATCTTAATTTTTTACTTCACTTTATATTCTTTTTTGGCGTGGGATGTTTTAATTAATCCAAAACAAAATGTTGTTCACCCATGATGCACTTGGCAATTTGGGTAGATGGATTTGTTAACGGGTTGATATAATAACGACACAAACATGATAAAGCTAAACATTGACACAAACCGTTAAGGCTAACAGGTTAGAGTTCTAAACTAACACGAATATGGATGTGAGTTTTAAACTAGCCAAACGGGCTGACATGATAGGTATTTTAGTTAACAAGGTTTAGGTCCACTTGACACGATACGATGTGATAAATGTTAGATATGTTAATATAATTAATTTTTAGAAAATAAAATTTTAGAATTTTTTATATGAAATCTACAATTAAATCAACAAAATAATAAAGATGTTTAATTCATAACATACCATAATATTTATAAAATGATATTATCATTTTTAAAAAATCATAGTAAACATGTTAAATGGGTTCTTAACATGTTAAGTGGGTTAATACGTTAATTCACAAATTTTAACGAGTTCTTACCAGATCAATCCATTAATGGCCCATGACAAGTTGTAAATATTTAGACTCGGGTCCATGGAATAATTTGCGGTTGCTTGACGTGCACTTTTAGGGCAATTTATATCGTGCACTAGGGCGCGCATTGCATTGTGCGCCCTGATGCAAAGCGACGTCGTTTCATTTTTTTTTTTTAAATGTTCTTGCGTTGTGTTGGCGGTTAATTTTCTTTAAAAAAAATCTCATGTTTAAAAATGTATATAATTTTATACTAAAATACACATAATTGTATACCTGAATGTACATAATTGTATAAGAAAATACACATACTTTTTTTTTTTAATTTCCTGATTCGGATGTACATAATTGTATAAAAAACATGTACATTATTGTATAAAAACACACATAATTGCATAAACAAATACACATAATTGTATAAACAAATACACATAATCACGTCAACTCCCTATATAATCACGTCAACTCCCTACATAACTTACCAAAACGACGTTGTTTTAGGAAGCGCGAGACGCACAGTGCTATGTGCGCCGTGGTGCAGGGTATAACAATTGCTCTTTTAGTCTTCTATCCAAATAGACGGTTTAAGTGGGGCATGGTCGGCCAATTTAAATCGCTTGAACTAATTTCACAATTTTCAATCACATCATCACAAACAAATATCACTACTCTTAAAAGGAAAGGCTGAACTCATCAAGCAATAAAGGTGTATTGCAGTAAGGGTCACACTCAACAGCAAAACTTTAAAGATGACACAATTTTTGACATCAACAATATTAAGAGTTGAGATGTAACGTTTACGTCAACAAGAGTAACACTCTAGACAGAAGGATTTTCAAGGAAGCAATAAGACTTTGAGTATTACAAGTATACATTAGGCAGTAATAGTTAGACACAATATGACTTGCAAGCAAGTAGACTTTTACATAAGTAGTAAGACTAATAAGCATAATACACAAATATTATATGTTCTAACAGGATACAAAGTATCCTTATTGGTAAAAGTAGTTAGGCACAAGTATCAAGAAGGATACTTATCAAAACAAGTTAAGCCACTTTGGGAAGAGTAAAAGACGGATTTTAATAACAAGTTATACACAACAATTGGATAATGGGGAGTTAATTTCCAAAATGGTCATTTCATTATGGTATTTTCTCAAATTGGTTTCTTGACTTTTAATTGCACCCAAAGTGGTCCTCCGATTATTGAATTTTAAGTCAAAATGGTCATCCGTTAGTTTTGGTATTAAGTGGATGTTAGAATGAAGGGTAAAACTGGTAATTTAGGTTTTGCACTCCAATTTAAAACAATTTGAGAGTCCTTTGAGCAGTCTGCACGCATATTTTTTCAAATTAGATTTTTACTTTCCTAAATCTACAATCAAAATGTGGGTTTTAATTTTTACTTTTATAATTAATTTTACGATTTAATTTTTAGAAGTTATGTTTACTTTGGGTGCAATTAAAAATCAATGAACCAATTTGAGAACAGGTCATAGTCGAAGGACTATTTCAGAAATTAACTCGAGTAATGGGCTACACTTGTCAAATCATGACAATTATTTTATTGACAAGTTGGCAATTCAAATATGTTTTTCCCTCCAACAATTCAAAATCAAGCTAAGCTATAAATTGAAGAATGCTCAAAAGTAAACAACAAGATACCCTTTCAAAAAAAAAAAAAAAAAAAACAACAAGATACAAAAGATAATTTATCAAGTATATTTCCAAGCACTCGAAGTTCGTCACTCGCTAATATCTAGTCATTCAAGAGACTTTAAGAACTTCATTAACACCAAGATTATCTTCACTAAGTCTCAATTAGTTGGAGAATATTCAACCTTGAGCTAAAGTTTTGTAGATCACTATATTAATTATTGTAGATAGAGGTTGAGTAGCAAGTTTTTAGAGCTTTGTGAAAACTTGAGCAAACAGTGTTGGATTGGTTATCATAGCACTTGTTTGTCTTTCACTTCTAATTTGTTGGTTGAACAAGATTACTATTGAATTACTTCCTAGAGATTAGGAGACCAGTAGAGTAGAGGAATTATACCATCGTTGCACAACTATAAATTTGTGTGTCTATTTACTTTATGCACTTTACTTTATCTTACATAGCTTATAGTATATTGCATTGCTTAATAATTTTTGAAAATCAATTTTTCATTGTGTTACATATCTTTTTGATCAAGTTATTTTGCTAGCCATTTTAAGGTATTATACCAGGTAATGTCCATATTAATTTATGTCATGCCAAAGTGGATTTAGGTTCTCCTATGTTAGGAAAAGATTTTTTATATGTTTATACACTAAACATGAATAATAGATGAACGAGAAATTGATTCAAAGTATACCCATAAAGTTGAGAAAAGGTGAGTTGTAAAGACTTTGTAGGAGCTTTTGTCTTATTTTGAAAAAGTATGTGAGTTCCGATTAGTTTAAATATATTTCTACCCTTTTGAGGTTGTGAAATATATGTTGGAAAAAGAGCATAAAATGACATGGAAAATGGCTATTTTGTGATACAAATATTAGTGTGGTTCACTTTTTATTTGGTTCGGGTCAAAGTAGATTCGTGTTCTTCGTAGTGAGAAGAAGAGATTGATATATTGTACGTTCAAAATGGATAATGGGTGAATGAGAAAATTGATTCTCAAAGTAGACCCATTAGAGTTGGAAAATGAAGGTGGAAGGCTTTAAAGAAGCTTTTGTCCCAAATTGGTTTGGGAAGTGTGTTTGTACCACTATATATACAAGAGCCTTTTTAAGGCATATTGAGTTTTATAGCATAGAGGTTTTCTCTCGTGCCCAAAAAAGTGCAAATCAAATCTCAAAATGAGCTTGACTTGTGTACACAAAATTGGTTGACCTTGTAGGTAAATTTAGGTAATTTTGACCTTGTAGGTAAATTTAGGTTTGTTACAAACCCTCGACCATAAAAATTGGCCAACTCGGTCTGTTCGTAGACTAGTTAGTTTTGATGATTGAAGTATTTTTATTTTTTAATAATATTTTGATGTTATGACTTATGAATTATCATTAGAGTTCATTCCAACAATGGTCCTCTAACTATTGCGATTTTCCAAAATTGGTCATCGACTTTTAATTTGGACAAAAAAAAAAAACACTTGACTCGACTTATGAATTATTATTAGAGTTCATTCCAGCAATGGTCCTCCGATTATTGTGATTTTCCAAAATTGGTTCTCGACTTTTAATTTGGACAAAAAAGACACTTGACTTTTAGATTTGTTCCAACATTGATCCTTCCGTTAAACATCAGTTAACGTGGCGTTAAGTAGAAGAATAGTGTAGTCATTTCCTTAATTGCTTTCTTCTTCCTCTTGCAAATACGTATCCAGACCTATAATATATGCCTATCACACCATCAGTACACCCATTCTCCTTCCTATTCTTCTTTCACTGTGAAGAAGAATGGGGCAAATAAAATTGATGAATTATGCCATAGAAGAAAGATACAAGGTAGTCATGGCCAATAGATTCACTTGCATGGAATCCCTGAAACCGGTCTCTCTCTCTCTCTCTAAATCTCCCTTCATCACATGTCTACCAACCCTTCTTTATAACCTCCCCCATTTCTAACTCCACACCTCCTGTTACAATCGCAGGGCCAAGTCAAGAAAAGGATGCAGGGCCAAGTCAATAAACGAATGGTATGCATGCAGAAGGTAGTAAACGTGAATGGGTAGGAAGACCGGAAAGATCGCGGAGGATGCCAAGTCGTTATGCTGATTTTGTGGTTAATATTTTAGGTTAGTTTGTTAGCATTAGTAGCTTTAGCACAATCAGTTATTATTATTTTTCTATTTAAACATCTGTAATAAGCTTGGGAAGGCAGTGAAGAATTTATCCAGTTTCTCAAACTTCTCTTTCTTCTTCTGTGGAGTTGTGTTCTTACTCGAAAAGGACAATCCGATATAATCGCGGGGCGATTGTATCATTTTGGTGTTCTTGTTGAGAGATTATCTCAGTTTAATATTAAAAATGGCTGAAACGCCAAATGATAAGCTGACCATGCAAAACCTACAACAGATGATGGAAGGTTTAATGGCCACGCAGGAAGCTCGGTTACAAAACCAATGGTGGGACCAACTGAATTCCTTCATGGCTTCCATGGAGGCGAAGTGGCAAGCCCAAGCAGAAAAAGGAAAAGTGGTGGCACGAGCAGAGGCCAAAGCTACAATTTCGGGCATAGGGAAATCTGCTGTAGTCCCTGAAGGTGACGCGGAGGAAGGATTTCCCAACAATGCAGCGCCAAGACCTGGCAGCATGCGTCTGGATGTTCCCAAGTTCGATGGAACTGATCCGCAACGATGGATTTTTAACATCCAAGAAATCTTCAACTTCCATCAGACGCCTGAACCGCATCGGCTACAAATTGCCGGTTTTTGCTTAGAAGGAGATGCCTCCGAGTGGTTCCGGTGGATAAAGAGGAATCGCATGCTCTTTGGGTGGCACGATTTCTTGGAGAAGGTTGAACAACGTTTTGGAACGACACATTTTGAAGACCCTTTGGCAGACCTCGCCAAATTAACACAGACTGGTACAATGGCAGAGTTCCAGGCGGCCTTTGAAAAATTGTTAAACAAGGTAATTGAACTTTCAAAAGCCCAAATGGTCTCATATGTCGTTGGGGGATTGAAGCCCCATCTACGAAGGGAATTACTGATGGCTAAACCAAAGACAATACTCGAAACTTTGGACATAGCCAAAGCTTACGAAGCCCGCCATGAAGAGTTGATAGCAGAATGTAAAATTGCATACAGAGGGAACACACGGATACAACCTTTAACAGATACTCCCAACAGGTGGTACTCCCGCGTTTCTGGCATTACGCCAATTCCAAGTAAGCCGGTGCCAACTCCATCAACCAACATCACTGGTCCTGTGGGTGGTAACACTAAGGGGCTACTGTCGGCTCCGGTGCCCGTTGAAAGTTCTCCTCAGACTAACGCCTTACGCATTAAGCGGTTTTCTGCAGCAGAACTACGGGAACGGCGGGACAAAGGGCTCTGCTTCCATTGTGATAAAAATACTCCCTAGGCCACCGTTGCAAAGGGCGGTTTCTTTTGCTTGTAGGTGATAAAGATGACGACGACCCCTTGGGAGATGCAATACCAGGTGAAGCAGAAACCAGGGTGGAAGAAACTATAGCTGGAGATATCTCCACTCTAAACACTTTGTCCGGACCGGGCAGTCCACGGTCCCTGCGAATTATGGGAAAAATTAAAAAACGTCTGTGTCTAGTCTTAATTGACAGCGGGAGTACCCATAACTTCGTCAACCCTGCCATCGTAGAGGAATTGCATTTACCCACCAAGGCTATAAATCCATTCCAGGTATACATCGGAAATGGCGATACCTTGGGGTGTCAATTTATTTGCCCGGATGTAGAGATCAACATGCAGGACACCACTTTCACGGTGGAATTGCATGTATTACAGATCGTGGGGCCAGATGTGGTACTAGGAGTTCAATGGCTACAGGGCCTTGGTAGCGTCACTCACGATTATGCTCAGATGACCATGGAATTCATGCTGGGTCCTACACGAGTTAAGTTGAAAGGGGAACCGGTCCTTGATAACCAACCTATCACCTTTAATCAGTTACAGGTAATGGCCAACCATGGAAACATACTAGCAGCATATGAAATTGCCCAACTACCCCATGAAGCCAGCCCTTCCCACACGTCAATGACCACACAAGAGACAATATCTCTCCCAAAAGAGCTCCCAGAGTCTTTCCAACACTTAATTCAGGAATTCTCTTCTCTTTTTGAGGCCCCAGAATCCTTACCGCCACATAAGCCAATTGACCACCTAATACATCTCCTCCCTAACAGTAAGCCGGTAAATGTTCGACCCTACAGGTACCCTTATTTCCAAAAATCAGAGATCGAAAAATTGGTCCGTGAAATGTTAGCACAAGGAATTGTGAGGCCGAGTCGGAGCCCCTTTTCTTCGCCCATCTTGTTGGTACTGAAAAAAGATGGCACCTACCGATTCTGTGTTGACTATCGGGCCCTGAATGCCATTACAATTAGGGATAACTTCCCAATTCCCACTGCCGATGAGTTGTTTGATGAGCTCGGTGGCGCCACAGTATTTTCCAAATTAGACTTGAGGGCTGGCTATCACCAAATACGAGTGGCAGATGCAGACATTTATAAAACAGCTTTCCGTACGCATGAAGGCCATTATGAGTTCCTTGTCATGCCTTTCGGCCTGACCAATGCACCATCCACCTTTAAAGCCACCATGAACACGATGTTGGGCTCTTAAGGAAGTTTGTTATTGTTTTTTTTGACGATATTTTAATCTATAGTCGGACGTGGGAGGATCACCTTGGGCATGTGCGGATGGTTTTTGCTTGTCTAAGTGCCAATTTTTTTATTTAAAATTGGCTAAATGTTTTTTCTGCCGTGACTCGATTGAATATTTGGGTCATATTATTTGTCAAGGTAAATTACAAATGGATCCAAGGAAAGTAGAAGCTGTCGTTTCATGGCCAATCCCAAAAGGTGTGAAGCAATTGAGAGGATTCCTCGGGTTGGCAGGCTATTATCGCCGGTTTATTAAAGGATTCGCCGAAATTGCTGCCCCCCTGACCAACCTCCTGAAGAAAGATAATACTAAATGGGGACCAGAAGCTGATAACGCACTATTGCACCTCAAGGAGGCATTGGCAACATCGCCTATTCTTCGCCTACCAGATTTTTCCTTACCCTTTGAAGTTGAAGTAGACGCGTCAGGGTCGGGAATCGGTGCAGTCTTAATGCAACAGGGTCATCCAATATGTTATTTTAGCAAAAAAATGGGGAATAAGTGGTGTACATCTTCTATATACTTACGAGAACTGCAAGTTTTAACGGAAGCGGTCCAGAAATTGCGCCATTATCTTTTGGGAAGATCTTTCGTCGTCAAAACTGACCATTTCAGCCTAAAGGAACTTTTGTCGCAAACAATTCTCACACCGGAGCAAAAAAATTTTGTTCACAAGCTGATGGGGTATGACTTCCGCATTGAATATAAGCCCAGTCGAACTAATATTGCAGCTGATGCTCTCTCTCGAGCTCATGACGCGACTACGGTCATGATGATCGCTAGTTGTCCCATTCCTGAGTTCTTGGACACATTGCAGCGTGAAAACGAGCAACTAGAAGATTTGAAATCTTTGCACCAGCGAATGGACAAAGGGGAGTTGAGTCCAGAGTTCACCAGAAATAATGGCATTTTATTCTACCGTCATCGGTACTACATAAGCTTCCATTCTTCGTTGAAGGGGTCGTTATTGCGGGAATTTCACTCGTCTAAAGTAGCGGGTCATTCTGGAGTTAAACGAACATTGGTTCGGTTAGCTGCCTTATTCTTTTGGCCGAAAATGCGTCAAGATGTCTCTGATTATGTTGCTTCTTGCCTCACCTGCCAGCAGATTAAATATACAACTCAGGCTCCTGCAGGTTTGTTGCAACCACTACCTATACCTGACCGAGTTTGGGATCATTTAACAATGGATTTCATTGTTGGACTGCCTCTGTCGCATGGATTCATGGTGATCATGGTGGTCGTGGATCGACTTACTAAATATGCTCACTTCGGGGCTTTACCGACCCACTTCACCGCACAGCGTGTCACTCAGTTGTTTATTGAATTGGTCATCAAACTTCATGGGTTCCCAACCTCCATTGTGTCTGATAGGGACCCAGTGTTCACTTGTTCCTTTTGGAAAAAATTATTTGAGCTTAGTGGTACTACTCTACGGCACAGTACTGCGCATCACCCGCAGGCCGACGGACAAACTGAAGTGGTGAACAGAGGGCTTGAGCAGTACCTTCGGGCTTTTGCCATGGATAAGCTAACCTCTTGGGCAAGTTTGTTGAATTGGGCTGAGTTTTGTTATAATTCCAGCTTCAACCATAGCTTAAAGATGAGTCCTTTTCAAGCTTTGTATGGGAGATTACCGCCAACAATTCCACATTATGTCCCGAATTCAACGAATATTACTGCTTTAGATGACATATTGACAGCTCGAAATGACCTGCTAAAAGAGCTTCGAGCTAATTTGTTGGCGGCTCAGAATCGCATGCAGCAAGTGGCGAACAGGAAACGCAGAGACGTCGAGTATAAGGTGGGAGATAGAGTTTGGGTGAAACTTTAGCCATTCCGTCAACTTTCTGTTGCAAGACGGCCGTTTCCTAAATTAGGAGCTCATTTTTTTGGCCCCTTTGAAATTTTAGAACGAGTGGGTGTTGTCGTTTATCGCTTGCGGTTGCCGGACACTTGTAAAGTTCACCCGGTGTTTCATGTTTCGCTTCTCAAACCATTCCGGGGCTCTAGTTTGGAAGGTACTCAATCGTTACCTACTGATATGGTCCAGGAAGTTTCTTCTGCGCCAATAGAGATCAAAGGCTCCAGGCATGTTCTTCGTAATGGCAGTCTGGAGCAGCATGCTTTGGTCTGGTGGGTTGACACTCCTCCTGAAGATGCTATCTGGGTTCCAATGGCAGTAGTATCTGAAGCTTATCCAAACCTTCACCTTGAGGACAAGTTGAACTTGAACGAAGGGGGTAATGTTACAGTCGCAGGGCCAAGTCAAGAAAAGGATGCAGGGCCTGTTGGAGAATTCGCAGAAGAACAACAACGTCGTGCAGGATGTAGGCTGATAGACAGCGTGTTTTAATAGTAAAAAGGTTTCTGTGTCGTGTCTAAACACTACCTTAAAAGCATTTAACGAACAGGGCTATCGCTAGCTTTCGACCGGTAAGCACAAAAAAGATAACGCAGGCAACCTCTATTCACCGTGATTTCTCAGTGTGTTTTGCAGGGTTGGGGACGAGCGATTTATATACTGAAAGTAAAAACCGCTCGTCCTATCTCAGCCATGAAGAACCAGCGAGAAAGATGGGAAGTGGGGAAGACCAACGCCAAGTGCATGCATGTTCCTTTGTTCATAATGAAGTGCGGACAAGGTGATCTAAACCCCTCAAAAATAGGGATAGAAATGTGTAGTGGGGTGCAAAACGTTGACCACACCGCGCGTGCGAATCGAGCCGGGCGGCGGCGGCGGCGGCGCGTGCGTGGTTTTCCCCTATTTCCCTCCATATCACTTCAAACCTTCTCAAAGGGGTTGGTGAATAAAAGGGGGTAAAAAGTGGGTTAGCTTGCCAATGTGGGACACATGAATAAGGACAAAAGGCACCCACAAGCATTTGCCTTGTAAATGTTTCCCAACAATCCCCCACACATTTAAAGGGATAAAAGCTATACCCAAGTTTACCTGAGCCAGTACAAGAGCTAACTTCCATGTCAGTGTACGGAACTTGAACTTCCATGAAGGCATCAAGTAACTTGTTCCCCGAGAGTGAATTGAATCTTGAACTCATCGGTTTATTGAGTTTTGAACTTGAACGCCTTTTATTAACTCTTTAAGAATCCCTATATAGTCTAGCTCAATCTAGACATCAACTCTGTCAAGTCTATCTCGATATAGACCACCCATCACGGGTTACAGAGAAAACACTTTTATTACAGTTTTCTTTAGTGTAAGTCTTTCCGTGATTTGACCCCGACGTGGTATCCATCATGAATTTCTTACCTCATTGGGTTTCAGACCCATCTCCCTTGATGTATCAAGGATGGCCTTTCGGTTTAGGCCTTTTGTGAAAGGATATGCAATATTCCTTTCAGACCTCACAAACTCCATTGTGATCACCCAATTTAATATAAGCTGCCTTACAGACTCATGTCTGACTCTTATGTGTCTTCTTTTCCCATTATAGACACTATTCTGTGCTACACAGATGGCAGTTTGTGAATCACAATTCATAGGAACAGCCGGGGCTGGACACCCCCACAATGGCACGTCTGCCAGTAGGTTTCTCAGCCACTCGGCTTCCTGACTTGCCAGATCAAGCGCTATGAACTCGGCTTCCATAGTTGATCTAGCAATACATGATTGTTTTGTTGATTTCCAAGAGATAGCTACTCCACACATAGTGAACACGTATCCACTAGTCGAGCTTACATCTTGACTATCATTTACCCAGTTCGCATCACAAAACCCTTCTAACACTGCTGGGTGTCCTTTGTAATTAAGACCCCAGTCCACAGTGCCTCTAAGATATCGTAATATCCTTCTTAACGCATCCCAATGCAGGGAGCTAGGGTTGTGAGTATAGCAACTGAGCTTATTCACTGCAAATGCAATATCAGGTCTAGTGTAATTCATCAAAAACATTAGACTTCCAATTATCTTTGCATACTCTTCTTAAGACACACTAGCGTCTACGTTTTTTAACAATTTGATACTTGGATCAAAGGGGGTTTTAGCTGGAGTCACCTCATAACTGTCAAACTTCTTTAGAAGTTTCTCTGTATAGTGGCTTTGTGACAACAGATAACCACAATCAGTCTTTGTGACTTTTATTCCCAGTATTAAATCGGCTTCCCCTAAGTCTTTCATTTCAAATTTGTCACATAGAGTCTTTTTAGTTTTATTTATAGCCTCAAGGTTTGAGCTAAAAATCAACATGTCATCTACATAGAGACATATGATCACAATGCTAGACTCTATCTCTTTTGTGTACAAGTATGCATCTGATCGGTTAGTGGAATAACCCAGATCTAACAAATTTTTATGAAATTTTTCATACCATTATTTAGGGGCTTGTTTCAAGCCATATAGAGACCTCTTGAGTCTGCATACTTTTCCTTCCTACCCTGGATCAACCCATCCGGGAGGTTGCTCCATGTAGATTTCTTCCTCTAGTTCACCATTTAAAAATGCTGTCTTTACATCCATTTGGTGAACTATCAACCTGTGTGAAGAATCAGTGCAAACAAAACACGAATGGTTGCAATTTTTGTTACCGGTGAATAGGTATAAAAATAGTCCTCACCGAATTTTTGTGTGTAGCCCTTGGCTACTAGTGTGGCTTTGAATCTTTCAATTGACCCATCTGACCTTAGTTTCCTTTTGAAGATCCATTTACAGCCGATTGGTTTGCAACCCTTTGGTCTTTTGACCAATTCCCAAGTGTGGTTAGACTGTATTGAGTCTAACTCACTTTTGACTACTTCTTTCCACAAAATGGAATCTACTGAGCGCATGGCTTCTTCGAAGCTTTTTGGTTCCTCTTCTAGGACTAGTTGACATATGAGCTGATCACAAAGTTCATTCAAATCTTTCAACTCAGTTACATAATTTAAAAAATCATAACCAAAGTTCTTTTCAACTCTAGGCCTTTTACTTCTTCGGGGCTATTTAGAGTTGATTGGAAAACTGGGAAAAACATCATGTGAATTTTGTTGAATTCTATCAACAGGTGTACCACAAGCATTATTTAATGGAAAAATGTGTTCAAAGAATATAGCATCTCTAGATTCACACATTGCACGGTTTTCCAAACACATAAATCTGTATGCTGCGCTGTTTTCGGCATACCCAACAAATACGGCATCTATGGTTTTAGGTCACAAATTGGGCCTTTTAAAGGATGGTAGTCCCACCTTAGCCAGGCAGCCCCATACCTTTAGGTACTTAATATTTGGGGCATGCCCTTTCCATAGCTCATAGGGGGTTTTTTCAAACCCTTTGTGCAGGACTCTATTTAAGATGTGGTTTGCTGACAAAACAGCTTCTCCCCACAATGAGTCCGGAGCACCTGAACTGATTAACATAGCGTTGATCATTTCCTTGAGCGTTCTATTTTTCCTCTCGGCAATGCCGTTTTGTTGAGGAGTATAAGGGGCAGTTAATTCATGAATAATGCCCGAAGATTCACACAGAGTTGTCGTTGTATTTGATTCATATTCTTCCCCTCTATCAGAGCGAAGACGTTTAATCTTTTTGTCTAACTGATTTTCTACCTCAGTTTTAAAAGCCTCAAATTTTTGTTCGGCTTCATCTTTTGTTCTTAGTAAGTATACTTTAAAAAACCGGGAGAAATCGTCAATGAAAGTAATATAGTAGCGTTTTCCACCTCTACTTTCAGTAGTTTTAAAATTAGCTAAATCGGTGTGAACCAGTTCTAATACAGATGTGGTACGCAAACTCACAGTTGAAAAGGATTTTCTAGAAATTTTGCTTCAGCGCAGATTTCACATTGTGTGCATGTTTCATTAGACAGATTAGGCAACAAATTCATGCTTTTCATTCTATTTAAACATTTTGTGCCAATATGTCCTAATCTACCATGCCAGATATCTAACGAAACAGTAATGTAAGCAGAAGAAGAAGCATTGTTATTATTGGTTTGAACATGCCAAGCCGGGGTGTGGTTTGCAGTACCAACTACATCAGAATGCTTTCTAACTACTGTGACATCTAACACAAAAAGCCCTTCACGCAGGTATCCCTTTCCCAAAAACATCCCATGTCGAGTCATGACCATTCGGTCAGACTCAAGTACCATTTTAATTCCAGCCTTATTAAGTAGGCCTGCAGAAATCAAGTTTCTATGGAGGGAGGGAACAAAGAACACATTTTGTAAAAGTAACTGTTTCCCAGACCCAAGCAATATTTGTACTTTTCCCTACCACTTACCTGGGATACACTGGAGTTTCCCATGAACACTTGTTCTTCTCCAGTGATTGGCTCAAATTCTTTGAACAGATACTTATTGTTGCAGAAGTGACGGGAGGCACCAGTGTCTACAACCCACTCGTCTGGATCTTCAACTGTATTTGCCTCGTTATCACTGCTGCCACAAGGTCAGAGTTCTCCATGTCTTCCACTATGTGTGCTTGGCCTTTTGGACCTTCAGAATCTGTCTTTTGACCATTCTGGTTTGTGTTCCCTTTGCGTTTGTAGCATTGGGCAGCACGGTGGCCATGTTTGCCACAAACATAACACTCACCAGAATTTTTTCCCTTTTTCTGAATCTACCCACTTTTGACATGGTTGTTGTTGTTGTGTTTATAGTTCTTGCCCCTTGGTTTTTATTATTTTTACCTGGCTTTGGCTTATTAAATCCTGGATTAGCCTCAACAGCATTTGCTTTAATAGAGTTAGAAGGAACAACAAACCTGTGAACCAGACGGTTTTGTTCCTCAATGTTAAGGCTGTTGATCAACTGTTGAAAGGTGTAGGTGCGTCGATCATGCTTCATCTTGTTCTTGAAGTCCACCCAAGAATCGGGCAGTTTATGAACCAGTGAATCGTAGAGTACCACCTTGTTAACCTCAGCACCTTCTGCCTTCATGTCTGCAACAAGGTTTTCGAACTCGTGTACCTGTTCTACAATTGGTTTGGTGTCATTCATCATGAAGTGCAACCACCTCCCAACTGCATATTTCCTTCTTCCAGCATCGTCAGCACCATATTTCTCCTTGAGTAAGTCCCAGATTTCCTTTGCTGACTTATATAAGGAGAACATGTCAAACAAAGG